TTAATAGTAACTTTATGTGAAGAAATCATAAAGAATGGTGATTTTAAAAGAAAATGAAAATTGCGCGCAAAATAAATATAAACAAACTGCTGAGATCATTTGCGTATACGAAGAAAAATTATAACGAATTAAGGTGTCGAATAAAGATAAAATAATTTCATTATTTTTAAATTCATATGACTTTTACGTACATAAGACGCTGAAGGTAAAAGACGCAGGAGTGAGTCTAAAGTCCGCCCGAAGAGCGGCTTGACATTGCATTTAAATTTTTGCTGATTAAAGTTGGCTGGAAAGCATGGAAGCGGTAGGTAGTTCCACAAGCGAGAAGTGCAAGGAAAGAAACTATTAGCATAGAATTTACGGTTGCATCTAGCATGCTCAACTCTAAATTGATGGATTTTCGACCCCAGTCTGGTACTGCGCTTAAATGAAAAAAAAAATCTAGGTACCATGGCTAAGAGCTCATCCATTGTATTTAATATCTCACCCACGAGGAATATATGTGGCACAAGGCCGAGATTAAAGTGGGTTTCTCCGAGCCCGTAGGCTCGGCTAAAAATATGCCCTTTGAACCCGCCTAGATGGGTTCACGGTCTGTCTACCTCTCCGGACGAAATCTTGCCCTTCGGCAAAGCTTCGTCCGGGTTCCTCTCTGCCAAAGCAGAGAGTTCAACAGTCATGAACTGGTGTTGGTTACATCGTTCATTCAAGAGCTCATCCATACAATTACCATGAAGTATTTATAGAAAAGACACAGAAAGATAACCTTATGGCGGTGGGAAAGTGACTGAAGCCGAGCCGCCAGATCCCGTGAAATTGACAGGAAACGAAATTCCTGCTACAATAACATCCGCTTAACTAACACCTTCCTTCCTTCCTTCCTTCCTTCCTTCCTCCCTTCCTTCCTTCCTTCCTTCCTTCTATCTTAAACTACTGGTCATTAAGGAGAAACATTTATGGTTAACACTTTAAAACTAATACTACTGTATACTACTCTTTCGTTAGTACATGTTGGTTATGTAATCATACTAACAGTACTTAACGGTGTCAAATATTGCTGAACAAATAACCGTTATCTCCCCATATATCCTCATAAACAGTAACCCTCATCACTTACACTGGGATTCTCTACCTAGACTGGTTCTTGGGCCTTGTACAGAGTGAATATTATTATAAAAAATGACTATTTACTAATAGTAACAAACACTGATGTTTAGCTAATATATTACATACATACGTACGTTAATACGTATGTATGTATGTATGTATGTAGGTTAATAAGAAAAAATACAGATATTTATTTCTTCAACGTAATCTCCTTACTTGTCAATGTATTTAATTAAGCTGTGAATATTAATCACAAAAATCGAATTAGAATGCTCAAAATTAAGTTAATACTAGGTATATATTAGCCTTTTGACTAAAATGAAGAACGAAAAGAAAGTTGGAATATATATATATATATATATATATATATATATATATATATATATATATATATATATATATATAGGTACACTCGTCTCGAAAAACCTCCGGTTTCTTCATTTGCTAATGGTCAAATCAATTTCGAAGGAAAAAAGGTTTTAAAAAAAGAAAGAGCTAGGAACATGAACGTCTGTCGAAAATAATCGTACAGCATAGAGGTCCAAAGCCCAAAGAAAAAAAACCCTATACGAGTAATCAAAGTTTGTCTATATTTCTGAGATGAGGTATTATGTACAGTATTTACATTAGTCGGACTATTGTTCTCATCTTTGTCACCATATTTGTCACAACTTAATTAATATATCTATTATTCTTGTTTTCATGGTTCAAGGGGGAAGGGGCTCTTTTTTTTCTTTTGTATCCAAAATTGCACCTAGCTTATAATTTTAAGCCAGCTAAAATATCAAGCTAGGTTAAAAGCCGCCCTATTGGTCAAACAATTATTTTTATTTCATGGGTGACATAACAAGGAACAATTCATAAGATAAAATTATTATAATGTAAAGATGGGAAAATAGAAATTAGAATTAATTATACATTTAACATTTGAATAGTTCGAGACACATAATAGCTAATTAAGTAAAACCTATATCAGGGAATCTCTATGGATAAATGCGAACTCACGAATTCTGAGATTAAAAAACCCCGGCTCTACATTATAGTAGTTGCGCTGGCCTCGGTGCGAGCACCCATCCCTCCCTCTGGTGCAATGGGAGGGCACGGCCTCGGGCAGATGTTCCCCAGGGCTGGGCACCTCTCAATATAATTTTCTCAGTTGCCCCTCTGTACTTTGTCAGAGAAGCCCCTGAGTGCACTCTGCCCAAAGACAGAAACGCAACTGAGAGATGAAACACCATGCGTTAGAAATCCCTCCAAGGAGAAATTTATACAGTACTTATAGTAATTTGTATTTACTCCTACCACCTCACGAGGTCAGTTTGTGACACAAGGTTGGTTTAATATGGGGAGCCCGAGCGCGTGCACCCGGGCAAGGAAAAAAATGTCCCCGAGCCCCAGCAACCGTCGGTTGCGCTGGCCTCGGCGCGTGCACTGATCCTTCTCTCTAGTGCAATGAGAAGGCGCGGCCTCAGGGAGCTGTTACCCAGGGCCGGCACCGCTTCAGTATAATTTTCTTCAGTTGCGACTCTGTCCTTTGACGGAGTGCCCTTGAGTGCACTTTGCCCAAAGACAAAGACGTAACTAAGAGATGATAAGGAGACGTAAAATTACTCAAAAAGAGCAATTTGCACATTGAAGGCTCATGATCTGTATTATGTATTATCATTTAGGCAATATCACTCTTCAGGTTTAACTAATTTGCATATTGATTTTTAAAAAGTTTATTTCATCTATTAACTGTCTCTCATTACTGTTCTTTTATTCGAGGAATGCTTTGATTTTCATATAGAATATAGTTCTGTTACGAATATCGTCTTATATATTGGAGAATTGAATTTTGCATTTTACTTGGCCTTCAACAAGTTGGCATCTATTTGTAAAACTTTCTTTAGTATTACAAGCTAATTTATGATTGAAATGTTCATATAGAATTTTTGTTTCAAAGATTTCAAGTAGTGCATATATCTTACTTTTCGACGCGATAGCGAGCGGACACGCGTGCACACACAGAGAGACACATACAGAGACACACACACACTTACGTATATAAATATATATATATATGTATATATGTGTATAAAGTTAAAGAAACATCCTTGCAGATCCTTCTTTATTATTCAAATATGAAAGATTTAGAAATAAAGAACTTCAATCGACTTATTTTCTAAACGATGTCACTCCCATCTCCGATATTAAGCCCTATTTTCCTATAAATATAACAAATTTTAAACAATATATATATATATATATATATATATATATATATATAGAGAGAGAGAGAGAGAGAGAGACAGAGAGAGACACATACGCACCATATATATATATAAAATATATAATATAATTATTGCATTATTATATTATATTATATATAATAATAATTATGAATCATGTATATGTATATATAAAATTGTCACAACTCGAAAATCAAATTTCTTTAAAAGACGCTCCTGCGAAAGTCTGTTTTATGTATATATATATATATATATATATATATATATATATATATATATATATATATTATATGAATGAACTTTCACACATTGTCGACATGGAAAACAAACACACGCACTTAGTCAAAAAAAGGTAGTAATATCCAAAAAGAGACTTTCGCAGGAGCGTCTTTTAATTTTTTTAATTTTTTTTATTTTCTAGTAACTATACAACATTTCGTTTTTTACTTATCATCACATACCTTGATAAAGTTGGATGATGAAAGACAGCGACAAGGACAAAACTATTTTCCGATTTTCAATTTTATTCAATTTGTCTTTTCTAGATATATTTTCTGAGAACTTTCACACACACACACACACACACACACACACACACACCACACACACACACATATATATATATATATATATATATATATATATATATATATATATGTATATACATATATTTATATATTTCGGTACATTACGAGAAAAACAATTATTTTCCCTAATACATGTTTATTATTATAACCTTCTGCCTTGTTAATGCACTTAATCTAATACTTCTCTATTAATCGCAATAGCCGGCCATTATACAGGAAAAATGTCGGTGTAAACTCTAGAGTACAGCTTCATTAATCCGCCCATGATCGTGCAAGTTATTCGAATAAAAGTCAGAGAATTTTTAAATGAAAGTCAAATCTTTATACTTACGCCTTTTTTCTCTCTCTCTCTCTCTCTCTCTCTCTCTTTCTCTTTTGCACAATGTCCCACAAGGATAAGTTTAATAAATCCTTGCATTTAGTTTGGTAATTTATTTCTTCTCTTACCGTGAGCTTTTTGATTTCAAGCAGATGTAGTTTTGCTGTATTTTAAAAATAAAACTCAGTGCATTCATATAGTTGCAATTATTATTCAGCCCATCTTTTCTGTATTTTTTAATGCCAGGAATTTGGTCCCCAGATATAGTGCTATACTCCCCGCAGGGCAATGTAAATTCGACGATAAATATTTATCTATGGGGTCTGGTAGATGCGGAGGGCCCAGTGCGGCTCAGAGAAATTATCTTACTATTTATTTTATTCCATATTTCTCACGCAAAAAGCTATTAAGAAATTAAATATTACTCTCCATAAAAAAGGTGAAACCAAACAAACAAAAAAAGGAACGCTGACTTCCCAAAAGCCAAAATAGTCTTATTTATTTTTAGCCAATAAAAACACAAAGAAAACACCTCGCTGGTATGCACACACCTGTGGGCTGGAAAGAAATCTCGCGTTCTCGTGCAATATCTGTGTAATGTCTACGAGAATTTTTTTCACTGCTCGAGAAATCATTTATTCCGGGAACACTCTCCACCCCTCTATGGATACTAAAACTTCAGATACACAAGTCCCTAATATAAAATGGTGTAGTATCTGCATATAACCTAAGCATATATTTCTCTATATATTAGGCTTACGGTCACATCATGCTGAAACACTGGCCTCGTACGATCACTGAAGTTAAGCAACGTCGAGCCTGATCAGTACCTAGGTAGGTAACCGCTTGGGAATACCAGCTGCTGTAAGCTTGGATTTGTGGGTGGTGTAATGGATAATGGCTCGGAATTGTTAATCGGAGAGCCGAGTTCCAGTTGGGTTCGTTATATCCACTTACCTGCAAATACCATATTGAAAGGTTTGAATCCACCTTTTCTCTCCCCCAGGCATGCATTAATAAGTAATAGTTGTATCACTAAACATTATTATCCCCTCCAAATTCTTACAATCTAAAATTATTTTCAGGCTTTAAATAAAGTGCAAAGGATTGATAAGCTATAGAAAGCGAATTAACCAAAAAAATGATCTATACATTAAAGTATATAGTAGTTAGTTATGCTAAATAGTTGTTACATCTTAAGTATGAAGAATATACATTGAGAAGAAATCGACACTTGTAAAAAAAATATAAAAATAAATTCCATCGTCAAAATCTGATTGTATGAAGAAAGGTTGGAAAAAATTCTGACATAAAAATTATTTGTGAACGATCTGTAGACCCCAAGGAATGAATGAAAAGTAATCGCTCGAAAAGTTATTTGCTTGTAAATAAAAAAATAAAAAATAAAAATACGGCCATATTTAGTTGAAACACCGGTTCTAATCCTATCATTGAGGTGAAGTAGCGTTGAGCTTGAATATTACCTAGATAGGTGACAGCCTGCGAATATCAGGTGCTGTGGCTGGTATGATGGATAACGGCTCAGAATAAATAAAATCGGAGTGTTTAATGCGAATTCCAGAACTAGTTCGTTGAATTTGCTGACATGCGAATACCCTTGAAATCACCATTCTCGTCCCCCCAGCTTGGGGTTAAATGGCAGTGTAGACTGGGTCTTGCTGCCTTGGCTGGCAACCAGTCTACCACAAAAAAGAAATGGCAGTCTTCTGCGGAAATTCGTTTGCCAAGTCACTCAGTGTATCACGCATGGTACCTAAAGAAAGAAGAAAATTTAAAAAAATCGAAATAATTATCATTAGCAGTATCCGTGAAAATTTCCTGGTTTTCCTGTTTTTAACTTTTTGATGAGTAATGCTTCTTAATTTAATTATTAAGTGCGTTCTTTGTGATTTCTAAGACTATAAGATTCTCTTGGACATTCCACTACTATTTCGTTATACATTTAGCTCAACCATTTAAAAAAAATATGAGAAACAATTGTTTTTATCTTATATCTAAATTTGTTGTCAGATCTCTCTTTCTTGTCATCTAAATTATATTTCATTAATGAAGGATAATTATCAGTGAAATTTGAATAATATTGAAGAAAATATATTAGTATATAGAATTATAAGACAAAATAATGTATATTTTATAGTTAAAAACAATTTCTTTCTTTGATCTCACTTCCATTCCTTTCTATTTCCTTTTTTTTCTTCCTTATTTCTATTTCAATGAAGCAGACGTTAAAAAACTTGAGAGCGTTAACACTTTCTCCATCTTCCTTTTATTTCTTTCGTTCTTTCTTTCTTTCTTTCTTTTTACCACTAAAATCGACAGTGACTCCGACAGATCCTTTTCTTCCGTCTTTTCTCGCAGTCAAAACAGAATGGTCTATTATTTACCTGAAAGGAGAAACAAATTGAATTATAGTATGATTGGGACATTTTTAGATGAAAAACATATCGACTTTAAAAATATTCCAAAATCAACGATTTTTTTAATAACATTGTTGATACTTATTTAATAAATAAAGATATTAAAAATATTTTCATTCTGAATATGAAAGAAAAATCAAATTTGTTCACACTACCCAAGTAAGGAACGAACGTTATTGGTGCTAAACAATCTTCTTTTTTAACTTATTGTTATTAAAACATTTTTCAAATCTATAATTTACAACTGGCAGCTCAATTGCTTAAATTCCCGTACGATTACCGAAGTTAAGCAACCTCGAGCCTGGTACGTATCTACATAGGTGACCGTTTGGAACCACCAGGTTTTGGATGAGCGGATGGTGTAATGAATAATATCTCGGAATTGTTAAATAGAGAGCTGGGTTCCAATACCAGTTAGGTTCGTTTTATTCACTTAAACGCAATTACCCTTGGAAATGGTGTGAATTCGCTCCTTCTCTCCTCAGGTATGGGTTAATTAGTAAAACATGTATCACTAAAACAAGTGTTATCACAATAAATAAATAAATAAAATTACGTACAAAAATTTAGATTTTGGTATTAAAAACCCATACAAAAGTTGACATGCCGCCAAACAGACAACCAAACAGTAACTATGTCAATTTATTTTTTATTTTCGTTCATGGAAGATATTTGCCTCGTTTTCATTTTCTCCCTATCGACTTTCGAATCATGAAGCGATTTATGTTCTACTTAAATTGTCTTTATTCGTTTAACAGCTGAATTATTGTTGTTCTTTTTCCTTTTAGTTTTTCCCAGTTGTTAGCAGGACAATCAATTATATGCGTATGTCTCACATTTGCTTTTGGATATCGTATATTTTACAAGCGCATTCATATTGAATTCAGTGTGAAAATTTCGGGCGTTAAAAGCCTAAATAACGGCTCGAACTTAAAGAAATTCTGTTAACCAAACGTGACTCATGAAAATACTTTTACCAGATGGGTTATCGCACTCATTTTCTGCTACAGTTTCCCAGTGACCCGTGTCTTGTCCAAAGCATTTTTCTTTCTTAATCTTTTTCCCAGTCCTTCCCGAACGTGGAACCTAATTTCCAAATAGCTTTCATCGTTTTTACGTTTCAATCATAACAAAGTCCAGAGAAATGGGAAAATATTTAAGTCATATTGTGATGGCGGACTCTTCCGTCCTTTTCATTTTTAATTTCTTAATAAGATATCAAACACCAAATCCAGATCTTTTCCCCTATTTTGGGTTTGGGCCCCCAACCGGAAATCTAAACTCTTCATATTTTTCTAATCCGTCCTTAAAAATTAAGGCATCGGAAGTCTCTTATTTTCTTTGGTGAATTTATAAATATATTATTCACTTCGCCTCACCAATAACCATGGCTGTGTTTATTCAAAAAAGATATATTTAATACTTTTAGGTTCGTGTCCACCTTGGTCACTAAAACAACGTTGTAACACGCGCATAGAGGCACAGGCATTCAGAGCGAGGCAGCATATCCTATTTCATCAAGAGGTTAGCTGACTAATAGATCATATTAGTATAAACACTTCAAATTAAGTTTGTCTTTATAGGCAGAGATATCAAACGTTTGCACGTATTTATAAAATCACCGATGTCTCTAGATTTAAATATGTTCGCAAGGTTTTATAAGTCTTCGTCTGGTCTTAGAGAAGATAACTCTTCAAGGGCAAATATGATTTGCGACCGGTTTAATAAGGAGAGAGACAAAAAAATGAAGAATCCCTTGAGGCCAGTGCACTTTAGTGCAATGAGAAATGCGGTTTCAGAGTTTAAATCTTCCCGGAGTAGGCACATCTGCATTTTTGTATTGAAATTGTAGCGGTTTGAACAGCCTCAATTCAATCCGTATATTTTTATATTACAAATGTGTCAGTAAACAAAAAGCAAACAAGAGAATCAACACAAAAACTGTTTTTATAATAACAATCTTCAGTTTAATGTATGGCATACAAAACAATCAATTGTGTGATTTTTTTATATAGTAAGAGTTGTAAATAATAGCAGGAGTTATTTACCTATAACTGCTATTTGAATTAGTGAAGAGTTTAAAGAAGATATTTTTTTATCTAACTCACAGAACAAAGATTTCAGTTCAAGAAATAATAGCAAGTTTCAATGGAAAGAATGTTCTTTAATAAGAAGATGTTGCTGGCTGAAATTTGGTGTAACATTGAGTTTAAAAGAAACTTGTTGATTGAAAGAAAATGTAATCTTCACTTGAATATCGAAAAGTTGTATTTGGTACTAAAAATGTAGTTTTAGTTTTAAACTTTTAAGTTGAAATCAGCATAAGTATATGGAAGTTTCTTGCCTCTCAAATTCGTTCACCGCAGAGGATGACATCGGTTGAGATGAAATGAATGTGTTTGTTCTGGGAAGCTGAGATGATGTTGATAAGCACTTTTAAATCCAGAAGATTTGACATACAATTTCTCACTGGTAAAAATTCATAAGAGTCGAAAGTTGTATTCTCTCGAAATGTGCAACGCTCGTACGTATGTGCGCACGCGTGTGTGTGTGTCATAGCGTCTTCCTGTAAGGGACAGACGTAATCTCTCTAACGCTACATCTTGTGTGTGAGAGAAGGCAGAAGAGGAAAAGCTGGAAATGTCGCTAAGTATTTATAATGTTGTATGTCACGTGATAGGCTCGAAACACATAGACAGATTTCTGGCGGTAAATTAATTTTAACAGTGCGAACGTAGACGAAAGCAAGATATTGGCATAAATTGATCTATCAGGAGATCCACTGTGATTCTCTTTGGTGTTTAGTTTGTACAAAAATTGACGTCGAAAGAAAGTGGTAGCAGAATGCTAAAAACTGCTCGAGGACAAAAGAGAAATAGTATTTATTTGCTTTCATAAGAGAGTAAATAAATACAAAACCGATTTAATCTAACAATGGGATCAACACATGTGGATATGTTCAAAAAGTGACATGTATCACTGGCTTTTGGCGCAGGCGTCAGGACGTATTCATTGATTATGTACTGTTGCTGTAGTAGAAAAGTTCAGGGTTCAATTTATTTCTGTGCTTACGGCCATATAAAGTTGAAACGACAGTTCCATACGATCACGGATGGTGACAATCGCTTGGGAATACAAGGAGATGTTAAGTTTGAGAATACCAGGCGCTGTAAACTTGGATGTGCGGATGGTCTAAATAATAACGGCTAGGAATTCAAAATCAGAGAGCCGAGTTCGAATTCCAGTCGGGTTCGTTACATTCACTTAGGTGCAAATACTCTTGGGAAAAGTATAAATGCACTTCTCCCACCAGCTATGGGTTAATTATTAGGTATAAGTAAATTATTATTATCTCTAAAAATTTCTTACAATATGAAAATATTTTATGTTTTTTTCAAAAGGTTGATGAGCCGTAAAAACAAATCTATCAA